GACTATATATGGGCACATCATGACCATATATAGGCACACCATGACCATATATGGGCATACAACAGTTTGTTGTCAAAGAAAATTTGATAGTGTGGACAGATTAAAGCTAGTGCACACTACGACATTGTATGTGACAAATATGAGTGATGTGCCTGTATATAGATTGACGATGTACACCCAAATATGGGCATATCACATTTTTTGTCACAGAAAATATGTTTTAGGTGACCTACCTCTCCTGACATGTCGCCGGCTGATGGGAAGACAGGGAAACAGGCTGAGTAAATAGCAAAGAATGTTAACCAGCTTAAGAACCCATGCCACAGTGAAAAATGCACAGGCTGCAAGGAAAACAATTAATTCTAGTAATTGTTGGAAATTCTACTTCTGATTCCTAAATTGTAATTTACAATTTTTATATATATTCTACACTTATTATAATGATTTAAATAAATGTATACATATATATTATAGAGGTAAAAAAATAGATAAATAATAATAACAGTTCTCAAATAGGAACATGATGTTATAATCATATCAAGCATAGCTTTTCAATAAAAATTTCTTTTTTAATTCATTTGCATGAAGTAAAAAAAGTGTGGAGATATTTTTGGAACTGCAACCTCTCGAGACCTATAGGATATACATGCAGATTTAACACCAGGGACTTTCTCTCATACAACTGACTGATACTCAATACGCAGCTAGAGGTATATATTTATAAAATATAACATATTATTATTATTAAACACATATATTAGTAAAATCTTTAAAATTCAAAAACAATTTAAGTGGATGATTACCCAGCTCCATGCCTCCATCTCCAGACCTGCCTTCAAACTCACAACGACAACGACATACTGTACAGAAAAAGTAAAATATATCAATGACGTAATAGAGGAGATAAAATAGAATTATCACTGTAATAATAATAATAATAATAATAATAATGATAATGATAATAATAATAATAATATTGTAGCTTTATATAGCGCTGTATCCATTTAACATAAGATGCTCAGGGCGCCTGATATATGGACAGGAACTCGATCAATGACTTTCTTCGCCGCTAAGGGTCCCTTCTTGTCTGTGCTACCTGGTAACCTGGTAGCAGCAACTCTCATCATCCACCAGTACACCGGGGTATCCCCAAATCGTTTTGGGTGATGTACTGGGTTCTTTATACTGCACACAGGCCATTGTATACACTGGGCCTATGGTTTATAGTCCGGTTATCCAAGAAGACCTGTTCTACCACAAGAACCATTCATAGCAAGCGTGCTGTTTAAACCAGTGTCGATATTTGGATGTAAGTTGCAGCGCCTCTGCTAACCACTCGGCTATTATGTCCGCCGCTGTAGTCTAAATATCAATTTACACTGTCAACCTTTATTGGACAAATATCTTCCCTTCAACCAATGGGAGCTATGATCAGTGTTGGCTGCAGTAAGTGGCAGTGCCATCAACGAAAACAACTATGGCAGGAGCCACAATACTGGTGGCAAGAAACTGGGTGAGCAAGGCCAGGTGGTAAAACACAGGGTTGCAAGGGGCCACATGGTTATTTTTTTATGAGTGTATTTACAAAATGCATTACATGCTCTGTAACAACTTGTATGCAACTGGATTGTTGGGCTCCAAATATACTTACTGTGTAAACCATATTACCAACAAAAAGATAGTCTCCTGTATATCCCGATTTAAAGGCGGCGTCTTGATGAAGGGCGCCGATGCTAATCCAAAAGATTAGTAGCGAATGTATTATGGAGTTTACAGTCCACATCCAAAACACCTGATACGAAAGGACAAAACGATTTTATAATAATATAAATAACAATAATAATAATGCTTAATTTATAAATATACATTAATGAAACTTCAACTGCTTTTTCTTTTTATTCTTACCTTTGTATTAAAGTATTTTGCATTCTGGGAAGGTTTGTAAAGCTGTGGAAAGCGCTGCATACTCTGGGCACTTATATTGCGATCGAACAAACCGATCGCAAACGGTGGCATAACGGTGAATATAACATTGTAGAATGCAATACACCAACGGTTGAACAGAATCTGACCTGACCAACCATTCATCATGGCAAACCAAAACTGGGGGAAAAAAAAAAGATATTCAAGAAACGAAAATTAGTTCTACAATTTTTTAATCTAGAAGGTGTATTTTTTTTATTTACTTAATTATTTGTCACTTGGTCACAATGTGTTTTCTACTTGAAGGCACCTTGGTACATTTTCAGGTTAGTTAATTAAGTGGTTTGGGGTATTATAGTAGATTGGGGTCATTTGATTACAATCTATGGTAAAAATTAGTTCAATATGCAATAATTTTTGAATAACTTTTCATTTTTCTTTGTATTCGTTTGTTTAAATATCTTGTCTGTGGCTGTGTGGCGATTAATTTTTGCTGTTGGTTTTGATTAGAAAATTAAAAAAAATATATATTTTTACACTTTTATTTTATATAGTACACAAGATCATACAATCAGTCAACATAAAATGTTTTGTTCACACTACCAAGTGTTATGGTGTTTTATGACATCATCCTGACATCATCATCATCATCATTATGACATCATCATGCCTATACCTGGGCACCTAGGCCATAGCAGTGAGTCACTTTATACCTCCCTGCCCATATAAGCAAATCACAAATTATTTGTCACATAATAGTGTACACACTGATTAACAGGAATTGGACATACCTCCATGATGTACAGGCAAATGTTTTTGTAAAACGAGTAAAGAATAAGCTTGGATATACGACTGTAGCTCCACACACCGTGTACGAGCATCAGCTTCTTTAGGAAACGGAACTGAGCTATAGAGTAATCTGATGAGTTGGCAGCCTGCAAACCCTCGTTCCCGCTGATACCTATACCAACATCAGCAGCCTACAAAACACAAAAATTCATGATAAAATTCACCAACACACAAAATCCATCACTATCACCTGACTTTCTTCTTCACTTATCGATTTATAATTGCAGGTTTAAAGCATTAATTTCACAAAGGTGTTATGGTTACTTGCAAGGAGGGCCACATGAAGGATGCATTAAATCCTCCCCACCTGACTTTGAAATAAATAGACTATGGCCCCATGGCCAGCCCTAGACCCCAGCAGTCCATTTTGGTCAATGAAAAAAAAACAAAAAAAACCTGCACTAGAAATCTGCTGAAAAACAAAATATGCTCAAATAGCTAACAAACACCTTTTATTACTTTACCAGTTAACGCCCCCTTCAATTAATAATCTATCCCTCCACCCACTTAATCTTTGTGCCCCTTCCAGCAGCCCCTACTGTATGCCAATACTCTTTGCCATTATCTATAACCATGCTTCCCAAACTATGGGTCATGACGAGAAAATGGGTCACCAATCCTTTGTGTTGGGTCGCGAGCAGGTTTGCTAAAAGCATTTTTAAAAAAAAGAAAGAAGAGATTGTCAATTCATGTGCTAATTTATACGGTTAACAGATCTGACGACTAGAGTATTTTAGGTGAATCCTCCTTGTCAATGTTTGTAGTATGGAAATAGTAACGCAAAATTTTCGGCCTTATTGTAATCAGTAAATGTATATCCCATTATAATTGTGGTCTGTAAGCAAAGAGCCCAAAAGCAGAAGTGTATTTTGAAACTGTATTAATTTTACCTGTATCATACTGACATCATTAGCTCCATCTCCAATCGCAAGCGTGACTGCATGAACGTTCTGTTTCACCAGTTCTACCAGCTCAGACTTCTGCATGGGCGACACCCGGCAACAAATAACAGACTTACAACAGATGGCTAATTCAAGGAAGTCTTTACGGAGGCTGAAATCCAAGGCATATATCAGGGTCTGGCGACAGAAAAACAATAAATAAAATTTCAAGTAAAAACATTGTTTTAAAAAAAAAATTTAAAAAAATTGTTTTCTACATTCATACTTTTTATTGTAAGCAGAAAATTTATTATTACAAATAGTTGATATGTAAACAAAACAAAATTTACATTTTTTCTTGAAACTGGCTTCAGACTAATTATTATTAAGCAAGTATATTTATTCTAAATTTAAAATTCATAAGAGAACACATTAAAATACAAATTCAATTTTAGAAAAAGAAGCCGTTGGCAATAAAAATTGAATTGTTGGCAACTGGAGTTAAAATACATTATACTACAAGTAAATAAAAAAGATTACAATATTAGATATTAAAAATAAGAAATGTTTATTTTTTATGTTTGTTTATGTTTTGCTATGTAATTTTCCCTTTGTGTTAATCATTTTATACCTTCTTTATATACTTTATATTTATATTCTTATATTCAGAGTTAATAATGCCTTAAGTGAGATGAATGAACTTGGCGTGGAGTTGAACAGCTTGATGGTTAAGATGCTTGCCTTCTAATGCCAGGGTCCTGGGTTCGATTCCTGTGACAGCAGGAGTTTTTCTCACGACTAAAAACAGCTCCACTCCCCAAGCCTCATAAAGAGACATTGCTAAAATTAGCATAACATTATCTTTTATAAATTCAAAATGGCCCTGGATATCAGCCGACCTTCTAGCATATGCTGTAATGGGCAACCAACTTTTCAACTTTCAACTTCAATTTATTTAACTTGGTTCAAATATACAATTCAACAGCACTGTATAACTATTATAGGGAAAACCAAGTAGTGAGACCAACAAAAAGTGAATAAACTTCGTAAACGTTGGTCCCGCGGAGAAGAACCCTCAACAATACCCACTTAACTACAAATTACCATAAAATCATCATAAACAAAAGCATCTAAGTGAACTGTAGAAAATAATTTTTACAGGAGACCTTAAATGAATAAGAACTACAGCTAGTAACTGAATCTGGCAATCCGTTCCACATTTCGGGACCATAATAAATAATGGTTTTCTGCCTTAAAGAGAGCTTGGTAAATGGTGTGTGAAATTTATGAGCCTGCCTTGTGTTGTATTTGTGGACTATTTTACTTAAAGAGTTGAGAAATGCTTATCGGTAGATTTTGGTTAACAAGGTTAAACATAAAAAGTGAAACATTATATTTAAATAATAAATCAATTTTGAGAAATTTATGAAAAGAAAAATTGGGAGCTGTAAATATTGTAAAAAAAAAAATATGAAAGATTTTATTTAATTTTTTTTTTGTACCTTTCCATCTACGATGAGAGAAACCTCATTCTGTATCCCTGAGGGATCCACGTATTCATCAATTAACATACGTAGTCTGTCCCGAGTTTGATCCAGAGAATCTTCATTCATTATCAACAGCTGCATGTTTTGGTTAATAAGATGACTTGCATACCCTGCAATTAAACATAATTTATAATCATGATAAAATGTAAGCATGCTTTAATAACAACATACCAGCCATTCCAAACTATATGTCACTTCCAAATATCAACTGTAGTGATTTGTGGCCGAGATGTTATCACGCAATTGTTTGTGATCGTAAATATTACTTGAAGTAATACTACTTGAAATATTATAAAAGTGCTGTTCTTTGGCAATACAATGAACCATTTAATTTATTTTTCTAAACAGTACAACATATATGAGGCATGTTGTGGGAAAATGGCTAAGTTGTAGCAAAATTGGAAATTTTGAGTAATTCCCTTCCAAAGTTATTTGTGCATTGTTTAGTAGAATTAACTATCAAACCAACGTTAATAAACAATTGGTTGAACTAAGACTTCGGGACATGATTAATTATACATTAATCTGTTGATCTATAGTGAAAAAAAAAAAGATTTTTGGGCAATTTTTTGAGCTGCTATAATTTATAGCTCATTTACTCAATACTGGCCTGTGCAACAACTTAAACGTTTTGCCACAACATACCCCATATTTAAAAATTTTATTTCTTTTAGTTCCGTATTGGTTTGGGATTGTAATGTTGTTATTATTTTTGCTTGTTTTTGTTGTTATTGTCATTATTATTATTGACCTTTAAATACATTTTTGTTCTCTATTTGTTGTAAAGTGCTAGCGACAACCTTGTTTTAACCGGCGCTAGAGAAATTTTATCTAATAGAAAAGTAAAAAAAAAGTTACCAATATTAATGGCTGTTTCCTGCTTGTCGCCAGTCAAAACCCAAATACGTATATCAGCTAAAAGCAACGTTGCAATTGTTTCCGGCACACCCTGGTTGACGCACAACAAATAAATCATATATAAGCAATGTTAATGTATAAATTCATACAAAATGTGCAATTGATACATTGATTATTGCAAACACAAATTTAACATTTTAATAATAACTTTAATGATATGTATTAGCTTTAATGATATGTAATGATTGTATTATGTACTAATTGTATTTTAGTATGTTTTTAGCATTGTTTTTTTAAATATTTTGATGTAATTTTTAAGCTTTTCATTGATGCTTTAATGACGTCAATTTTAACATTTTATTGATAGCTTTAGAGTATCATTTATATAATGTATTGGCTATTTCTGATGTGATATTAACGTTATTATCATGTAATTTTTAGATTTTTTATCACGATCTTATGGTAGAACAGTATTTTATTATTGAATAAGTTTTTCATTAATAAATATAAATACTATCAAGTAAATTAAAAAAAAAAAAATGCTACTAGATTGTTGAGTCTACAATGAAGTTACAATTAGAAGGTGTATGGTGGTATTTTTACTTTTTTGGTACTGGTATTGAGAGAAGGGTGATGATTATCATTACACTTACTTCTTGTAGTTTGTCTTCAATTGCTGATGAGCCAATTAACATGAAGTTCATCTCAATCAACTCTGCAGCCTCTTCTAGTTTAGCCTCTCTGTCTTTCAATGCTGTACTCGCTTTATAAAACGTTGCACTCCATTCCTTATAAAATCACAATAAATTTACAAAGCTATATATCAGTACTTTGGTTTACCATCTTTTCTCAGATTCCCATTTACATTTGAGGCTTGGCATCAAAAAACAGGCGCCAGTGACCAATAAAATGAAAATTGTAAGCTTTAAAAAAATTAAAAATTACTGGAATTGATTTACTTTTGCCAAATTATGAGTAAAAGAAAGAGACTGCCACATTCTTATGCTAATTACTCAATTTAAAAATTAAATTTATTTCCAATTTAAAGTACAAATAAACAAGTTACAGTGGTCATGTCATATTCACTAAAGAAATCTACAGTAAGACCATTATCAGTGTAAGTGTAGCGGATCGTCTGGGTAGGGGCATAGATGCATACATATACAGTATAAGAAAATTATAGATATAAGAAAATCAATCATAAGACGAGACTAATGAGTCAAAGGTCACACTAAATGTTATACTCACATCATACTCGTCCTGAGCAACTTCACGGAATGCAAAGCATAAGGTTCTTAAACCTGTTGAAGCAAAATTAGTTATTAAATATTAGTTATTATTAAAAATATAAAATGGTGAACAAAAGTGAAGTCATACCTGTCGTAATACATCATCATCTGTCTTCTGCCTACTGGCAGGTTCAAAGCAGTTAATTAATCAAATTTTCTATTTCATATGATTTACGTTTCATGATGATATATAACTACTGGGCCTGTGGGAAACACATAAGTATATATTAAATTTAACTTAATTAAAGTAATTGCCTAACTCTTTACCTTCGGACGCAAACTCTTCCAGGTGTTGCAAGGTGGACTCTTTAAATTCTTGGTCCTTTCCTAATCGATCGTAAATCACGGTGTCCGCTCCTTTGCACAAGACAAATATACGTCCGTCTTCTGTGCGTACTATCGTAGACATACGCTTCCGTTGGCTGCTAGAATTCTATGTTCTTTGATGAGATGTAATAAATCAGCCATAGCCTCTAACATGCCAATGAACCAAGCAAAGCCTTGTTGACTGCTGCCAAGAACGCTTTACTAGCAAAATGCTAAATAATAATATTTATATTTTAGGCCAACTGCAATGTGTAAACAAATGTAAAATTGTTAAATAAAAGTAAACAAATTGATGAAAATTGTTTGTTTTCTTCATTCTGTGTAATACTTTCATGTTGCACAGCGCGTTGTAAGGCGTCACAGTGCGTCGCTACAGGAGGCGATCGCTTCATGAAAAAATCTCCCTATTTTTTGGTTTTCAAACTTGGGATCTCTGTTACTATATTATTGATTTCAAATGAGCATGATATTATCCATGTACTGTCTAGACAGCCATGAAACCCTTCCATTCTAGGACAACTTTTTGTGCTGATTTCAGGTATGTTAAAGGGATGCATTGTTTAATTAGTAAGATATTTTGCCTCAAAAATGGCCCAAGTGCTAAAATTGCGCAATAACATTGTGCGACTATATATTGATATATTTCAAATGAGCATAACATTAACAGTGGTCTCTTATACACATCT